AGGGTATGGTGAATGCCAGGAACTGCAAGCCGTTTGGTGTTGTAGGAGTTTAAACAGGAGGGTGAGAAATGGGGGGAAATACCCTAGTTGGAGCAACAGGACAGGAACAGATAGCGGGGGAATTCCAGAGAAGGCCTTGGACTTCGTCCTATGGGTGATGGAGAACCCTAGCAGATATCAAGCCTTGCAAGGATGCAATCAGATGGTGTTTTAGAAAGATCACTCCAGTGGTTGTGAGGAGGATGAGCTTGTCAGGTAATAGGAGTCAGGGAGATCAGGAAAAGGGCACCTCTCAGCCAGAAAGAAGATGCTGCTACATACCACTGTTGACAGACAGGAAACGTGGATCGACAGACAGATACTAAGAAGGCAAGCTGAAGAGACCTGGGGACTGCCTGGATATGCAGGGCAAAAGGGGGAAGAGTTGTATATGACATAAATTCTTATCCTGGGTAGGAAGAAGAGAATCCAGGTGAAGTTACTTTTTTCTTCCCCCCAGTAAAATAGGATGACTTTAATTTTGACATGTGATGTTTGACATGTACAAGGATATAGAGGTTGAAACGTCAGTATAAAAAGTCACAAGAGTTGTCTGCATTACAGAGAAGAGCTTGAGTCAACAGCACTTATAAAATCTTGACAAGATGAGAAGAGCAGGTAGACTGCTAAGTGAGAAGAGCTGTGGGCAGAGGAAGAACCCCTGGAAAACACCAATCTTTCACAGAAAGACAGGCACAGAGGCTGTTACAAAGAAGAAAAAGTACAAGGGCTAAGGTTAGAAATCCCAGAAATCAAGGGAGTAGCTTCAGGAAGCTGTCAGTGAGTGATGACTGTTGTCAGATGCAGTCGAGAAAGGTCTGCGAAGCTGAAGGATAAAAAGTGCACAGTTCCTTTAACAATTAGGAGGTCATGTGTAGGTATACTGGTTAGACCTCTTGGTTGCAGACAACTGAATCCACTCAAGTTACTTTAGGCAGAAAGGTATTTATTAGAGATTATTAGATAAGCATACACAATCTCCAGGAGGTCACAGACACAAGGGTGGAGGTCTCTGCCAGGATGAGCAGCTGCCAAGGCAAACACCCACCCTCCCCATAGGACTGTTACAGTGGAAACTCCCGGCCGCCTGGGACCAGGACATAGAAACCTTCACCAGAGCTGCCCTGGATGAAGAAACACCTCTGCTACTGTGCCTACAAGTAGGGCCACTCTTCCTAAGAGCAGTCTCATTCTAGGATGAGCCTGCTCCACACCACCTAACTGAATGTTCATCTTCAGACTTCCAAAGTACCATCACCTACTTCATCCACAAATGATACCTCTGTGCAGCGTAAAATGAAGATCGTGTCCAAAAAAAAAAAAAAAGCAAGAATAGTCTTTATTCCTCGGAAACACAATTGGAAAACTGTATCAATAAAATCAAAAGATTCAGAACACAATTACTTGTATGCAACACAAACACTGAGGCTCCAAACGTCTGCTACAAGGAAACACACCTGTAAACAAGTACCTCAGGGAGAGTTTACAGGTGATCGGCCTGACTAGGCCGCATGTGCAATTGATTCTCTCCTTCGGATAGACTTTTGTGGTAACCCTTTCAAAAAAGGTCAGATTTCAGCAATAAACTATCTCAAAGGATGGCAACACATCTTTAAAAAAAAAAAAGGCTTAAGAGGGCCAAATTACCATTGCATATATGAAAATAGCACAAGAATTGATTTCACAAAAATACTAAGGAAAGCATCTTGAGCCTACCTAGGGAAAAAAAAGTCTTACTTGGGAGCTTGAAATGGGGGAAAATAAGTATTTTGCTACAAGTTCTATTCTAAAAAACATACTGATTTCTGGTTCTACAAAAAGACTGTAGCGACACCCTCCTGTCCTCTTGCCCAGATGCTTTGGCACAATGTCATTAAAATTTTATATGCTTTAATTTGAGCCATCAATGAGTCTCAGATGCATGTTGCCTTATATATATATGTATGTATGTTTTAAAGTTTATTTATTTTTGCTTTTGGCCATGCCTCGAGGCATGCAAGATCTTAGTTCCTCAACCAGGGATCGAACCCATGCCCCCTGCAATGGAAGCGTGGCATCTTAACTGCTGGACTGCCAGGGAAGTCCCTATAGGTTGCTCCTTAAAATAAGGAAGTCTAGGATAGAAACCAACCCTCAAACTCTGCATATTCTAACAGTGTGTATTCATAATTATGTCTTCTGAAATCATGCAAATTAGCAGCACCGATCATTAAAACATTAAAAAATTATTCTTGTACTTGAGCAGCAACTTCTATAAAGACAAATGCTATGCGATTTATGATTAATAAAACTGCTAAAATTCAAAGTGGCTAAACTGCTTTAAGATAGAAAATGCAAAATCTCCCTGTATTTATATAACCTCTAACATGTTACATACTTTATTTAGCTTCTGAAAGAGGTAATCCTCTGTTAGAGAAAGTCTGAATGTTATGTGCTCAGCTTAAACATATTAAATGTTGATAAATCACAGAATTTTAGACCTAGAGAAGACCTTGTGATCATTTAGTCCAACCTGCTCTTTTCGGGCAGGGAAAACAAGGCCAACAGAGGGAAAATGGTTTGTCCAATATCACACAATGACAGAGGCTGGACCCCAGTGACCCCAATCCCCACCACGGTACTACATGATACTCTCTCTACAGAGTGAGCTTCCCAAGTTTTCCTGGGTTTATTTGGTCCCATTCATTAAATAACAAAGAAACATCAGGTACACAGCAATAATAACAATAAACACAGACTTATACTCCAATTTTAAAATCAGAATATCAAAATGATTCCTGAGCCTTTAACTACCTTCATTTTGTTGAGAATGCAGTCCACAGTAAGTTGTGACTACCTATCGTGGTTACTTGCAAATATTTACACGGACACTGAAAACACCATTCAGAACTATTCCTCGGAGATATTTCTATAAACACGTCCATGTGATGCCAAGACACTTTCCATGGGACGGCATGAAACTATGATGGTGAATGGAAGTAAGATGCTTCAGGCTCTCAAAGTGCAGTCATGAGTTTATCTCGACACATCATACTCTGCTTTCCTCCTAAGTTCTTCAGGTTCTGGTCGTGGACATAATCGAGATGGCTGTCATCTCCACTGGCCGAAGCTTTCCAATGCGGCCTGTCATCCTGAAAGGATGGCCTGTTTTGTTTGCAGAGGGAGCAGTTAGTGGGTGGTATGGAAGACAATCAGAGAATTGAGTGAAACAACACAAGTGCAAAGGAAATGGGCGGGGGAAACCATGAACTACATGAATGCAGATGGCTTTCAGAAGAAATGAAGAGATTTTCTACTTTCAAGTGTATTTTAAATTCAGATGCTCTGGTCCTCTACCAACTTCCAAGTTGAGAACAGCGCTGCCTGTGGCTGGGCCATCATCCCTCCAAGGGTGTCTAAGGATCTAGTCAGTCTGGGAAATGCTAGGTGATGGTGAAAAAGGCTCCTTTTCTATGGGAATTCTCAGAGCTGTTGCCACGGGAACATACACCGTGAATGCCTTATTCAGCCTTTTCTGAAAGTGCTGGACCAAATAATTCTCTTTTCATTGAGAGTCTGATAAAATACCACATACTGGGTCCCACCCCCCGAGATTTTGATGCTGGAGGTCTGGGGTGGGGCTGGGACTCTGCATGATCACGCTCCCAGGTGACACAGATGCTGCTAGGCATCAGGGCCACCTTCGAGTAGCGCTGGTCCAGCCTTCCTAGCATCCCCAGCGAAGACTGCCTCACAAGGAAGCCAACAGGATAGAACAGGCGGAAATCAATGTCATGTTTTATGAGCATGAGGTTACATTAAAAAGCATTTATATGAATCTCTTCCATGCCTCAGGTCTGGAAAAGAAACGGTCTTTGCAATATGGAAACTTTTAAAGGTATTAGTTCACTAGTCTAACTTGCTTTTCAGTGTTACATGGACATCAAGTGCTTATGATCAAACTGCACTGTTGTCCTACAGGATCCACAACAGACAAGGTAAGAGAGATCAAGAACTAATTGCTCTCCTTGGCCTTGTTCTAAATGCATGTATTCCCATCACTCCATTCACCATACTCTCTCTCAAGGAGCCAGGTTCGCAATCTCATAAGAAATAACTTAAACTGAATTCACCAACTATGTTTCTGAAAGAGCTTCGCACATAAACACCAATTAAGACTGATCTGAAATTCAAATCTTAAAAGGAACGTTTGCTTTTATGAAGCTGGCATTAAAAAAAAAAAATCCCAAGCTTAATCATAAATGCAACAGAGCAGGTGCCAGGTTACCTGGGAAGGACGATGGAAGGTTAGGACACAGGTGGGTAAACACAGCCCTCAGCCTAAACCCCACTGTCTGTTTTCATAAATAAGCTTTCTGGGAACACAGACAGGCCCATTCACTTCTGCATCATTTGTGGCTGCTTTCAAGCTATTCAGTACAATAGCAGGGTTGAGTAGCTGTGACAGAGACCACAAAGCTCAGTATTATCTGGACCTTTACAGAAAAGTTTACTGACCCCAAGGTTTAGAAAAAAATCCATCATCACAGAAAGCAACCCTCCACTCCATCTCTGGGGGAAAAAAAAATCCTTTCAAAAAAGTCCCACAACAAAAATCCCTGAGCTTTAATCGTATTTTTAATAGATGAATTCTTAGGACAGAAAAATGTTACTTAAATTCTAAGCAACATTTCAAACATAAAACTAAACCCCAAATACCTGAGGTTAGACTGACTAAAACAAAACAAAACCAAAAACCCCCTCCTAGTTCATTTTATTTCATCAAGCATAAGCTTTAGTAAATCCAGACCCATCACCGGCTTCTTTTGCTTTGCAAATTACTCATCTCTTCCAGGACAAGACAACTCTTTTAACAGTGGTTTCTGATGCAGAATTTCAATTCACAACGAAGTAGAAAAGAAGAGCTTGGAAAAGGAGAGTAGGAAGTAGAAAAGGACAGCTCTGGGAGCTCAGGTACTTACCTTATGTTTGGAGAGTGTGGGTGCCACCGAGGTTGGCCGGGGTGGAGACTGGGATGATACTGAGGCTAGAAATAAAATACCAAACTGGATTACTCAACGCCCTTTTGGTTTCAATGGTCTTCACTGGCTGTGGATGGACAGGCTCTCACTGATGCCTGGCTAGGGGAGCAGACGTTTCCCAGGATATCAAGTTTCCCCCATGACAAAGGCTGGGGGGCTGCCCTCTAAGAAGAAAGGTAGAAAGCATCTTCCTTGAAAGGGTGCCCCAGAGCACCCGGGGCCAGGCAGCATTCATCTCTCCCAAGGGAACCGAAGGAAGGGGCCAGAGAAACGGGGGAGAATAGGGGTAATTTATTCTTCAGAAACAGTTTCTGCCATTGCTGAAAAGGATGACAACTGTGTGTAAATAGTCACACTGCAAACAGGACTGAACAGAGGACGACGCCAAGGGAGCAGGACTGTGCGCGAACTCTTTCTCTCGTTTAAATACTCTTCTATCAGGTGATCCAAAAGTAAACATCCCCCGGAAACAAACAAAACCACAAACCATCTAGATCCTGATAGGAGAGAGACGTAGTTTGTCCATTTTAACATGGGAAAAAAAAAAAAAAGGATCCAGACAGGTGACTCACAAAAATGGCCAGGGGTCAAGACAAGGCAGGCTTGGGTGGGTGGCAGGCTGCCTGCAGCTCCACTTCTGGCCTGCAGGGGGCAGCAGCCACAGACACTGCCAGAAGTCCTGGGGCTTCGCAAGCCTAAACTTTCTACAGGGCAGATGAGGCTTTCCTGACATTGGAAGTCACTACAGTCTGGCCACTATTATTCTTTTCATCATTTCTTTCCCTTCTTCTCCCTCCCTGATGTTTTTGTTAATAATCAGGAGTCTATTTTCTAGTATGGAAAATTCTCAGCCATTCTGTTCGTTCAGTGTTTCTGGACCTGAGATGCCCTCCTGGCCTACTGTGTATTCCAGTGGCCTCTCTCCTTCAAAGATGCCGGTCAGCAAGACCGCATCCACTAAAGGACATCTGATGGGAAAGTGGAATCTGGAGAAAAATCTCAGTAGCAGAGTCTGAAAGCTGACCAGTGCTTTAGAATCTCCTGGAAATCATCTCTGCACATGTCTCTCTTTTAGGGGCTGCAGAAGCCCAGAGAAGTGATAGATGACTCGCCCAAAGCTGAGCAGTTTCAGGCGTTTCAATCACACAGCCAGGCTCCAAATGAGGCTCCACCAACTGCGTCTTCAACAACAGAGACTAAGCTAGACTAGAAATGGATCTTCTAACACCTCGTCTTCAAACACAACCAAATCAGATGCACTGGAGAGAGGTGGTCACCTTATCCGTAAAGCCCTGGAAGAAGGATATTCCAGAACCTTCCTTGTTCTCCTTCAAAAAATTATATACCCTCTAAAGCTGTCCACCTGATGCGAAGAGCTGACTCATTGGAAAAGACCCTGATGCTGGGAAAGATTGAAGGTGGGAGGAGAAGGGGACAACAGACGATGAGATGGTTGGATGGCATCACTGACTCAATGGACATGAGTTTGAGTAAACTCCAGGAGTTGGTGACGGACAGGGAAGCCTAGCATGCTGCAGGCCATGGGGTTCCAAAAAGTCGAACACGACTGAATGACTGAACTGAACTGAAGCTATCAAGGAACATTTTTTAAAGTTAATACACATGGTTCTCAACTAGGGCAGTATGCCCCCCTGGGGACAACTATAAGGAGGTATGTGAAGTTTTGCTTATCATAATGACTGGAGGGTTACCCGTTACTCGTTGGCAGAGAAGAGGGAAGCTGAACCTCGTGTAAGTCTAAGGACAGTCCCAAGCAGTGAAGAACTGTCCCTTCCCAAATGCCAAGAGCTCTCTCATTGAGAGCACAGCAATCCATCATCTGCATTTGGCTCGGCTTGCTGAGCTCAGAGTAACATCAATGCTACAACACCGTCTTCCTGGAAACTCTTCTCAGCACTCAGATGCTTATCAGGCCACTTTTTAGGGTGTTCTCTGCCCACTCAATTTATTCCCAACACGGCACCTGTAAGGCTGGCAAGGGGAAAGGGCCAGTGGTTGCCAAAGATGTTAAGAGATGAACAACATCCAGGTAACGTTTTTCGTGGATTTGATCTCAATGAATAACTGCCTTGACGTTCACTTAGAGCAGAGAATGCAGAGAAAGGCACACCTGTGAGGCTGTCAGGGAAGAGGCAGTACCGAGCCGGGAATGCTTTACTTTGCTTTTTTTTTCTTTTTCTCTCCTTCAAGCACTAGTGACCCATCAACAACATTCCAGCAACTCACACCTCAAAGTCCCTCAGAAAAAAAAAAATCTGTAACTAAGAAGAACCAAGAACCCAAAGGCGGCAAGGAGATCGGGAAACCTGGCCTTTGCCCTACCAGATACAAAGCACTTTTTACACTTATTCACAACAACTCGGAAGTCACATCTAGGTTCTGCACACAAGGAATAAGATTTCATGTACAGAAGACAGTATCAAGATTCTGAAACATAATTTGGAGGTCTCATGAAGATAATGCACACTGGGATCTCAGTCCCATCTAAGGATTTACTTAACCTACGATCCAGAAAGAGACTAATTAGAATAAGGCTCCAAAGTGAATTCATCATGGAGTATTTAATTACTTGTGACATTCAAAACCAGACTGGTGACAGGACACAGAAACCCAGGAGAGGAGTGTCCCTTGGACATTCACGCACGCCCAGGACAAGAAAATTGGCCCCACGTTAGGGGCTCATCGGATATGGGTGCTGCCTCTCAGCCCATGACAACCCAGGAAGCCAGGAACACACCATCAGCTCAGGGTCCTTGCCTGGTCACTCATGAGAACCACCTTCAAGGCCCTGATGCTTGCCAATACCAGATCCTGCCCACCCTAGAGTTTCAGATTCAACTAGTCCAGGGTGAGCCCCAAGCACCAGTTTTTTTTTTTTTTAAAGCTTGTCAGATGGTTTTAATGTGCAGCAGGGCTGTGTGATTTCCAATGACGGGGCTCAGAGAAGGCTCTTTGAAGGTGATGGTTTCCTAGCAGATGAGCATGGGTAAAGGAAGAGTAGGAAAAAATTATGGGGGAAAGATGATGTGATTCTCTAAGACCTGAACCCATGAGGTATGCTTAGGAGCAGAGATAATACATGTACAAAAGTTAAGTTGGACCCAGGTTGTAGAAGGCTGCAAAGAGCCAGTGAGAGCTACCCATGGGCAGTAGCTGATGGGCAGGCACAGGGTTTGGGCCACCAGCTACGGAAACCCATCTTTGCTCCTTCTGCAGGTAACAGGCCTAGCATGGTGCTTATAAAGCAGGTTCTAGAAACTACCATTCCATGAATGGTAATGGATCCACCACCAACAGAAAGTGGTGGAGAAGACTAGCTGTTTTTATGGGGGTGGGGAGGGCTGTCCAATAGAGAAATGATTTGGGGAAACCCTAGATTAAAAACAAAACAAAACATGTGTCTTCCTTGAAGGGTTTCTTGATACTTTTGACACCCCAAAGGGCACTGGAAGATCCAAGAAGAGAATGAAGGATGAAGCATTTCCCAAACATGTGACCACAGCCTTTCCTGGAGGTGCATCTCGTGGTTCCCTGGGCCTAGAACACACCTTGACAACAACTGCCTCCCGAGAGGGTCCCTGAGAGGCTGTGTCTGACCACCCAGAAAGTTCGGACATGTGTCCCTGATGCTTGCCAGTGGACACGTGAAGAAAAACAGGCAGCTCAGAAAACCAAGAGGAAGAAGGAGTTGGAGAGAAGGTTCTCCTCTTGCCGTTTTCTCAAGGAAAAAAAAAGAAAAAAACACGCATTGCTGTTATTTCTTCAAAAACTGGTTACAAGCATAATGACTGCTCAGTGTGGAAAATTTAGACACTTTAAGAAATATGACATGGAAACCTTTAAAAGCAATAGCTCACCTGGTAATTATGGACTTCAGGATTTGTTTTAGGGCTAAAAAAAGAAAAAGAAAAAGAAAAATTGTAATAGGCTGTAAAGCAGATTGATTACTGATTTATTTAACAGCTGTAAACTAATCTTAGGATGTTGGCTACTCTGTCAGCAACTTTTACAAATCCTATTTCTTTTTGGTTATACTCAGTTTAACTGAGTATATAATTGGGGAGACTAAATAGCAGCTCTCATTAGTCACTTAAAGCTTACAAATTTTAAAAAAAGCTCACAAATAAAAATATCTAGGTTAAGATTCCAGAATCCCACTTGTGACATTATATTTTAGTGGTAAAAAAGATCTTTTCACAGTTGGGCAAACCAAGTAACTTTAGCTCCCATTTCAGGTGGCCCAGCATATCAGGCAGCTCCAATGATGCCAGGGCTTTTTCCAACTGATGGAAGAGTCGCGGGTCCCTTCTGAGCACCCACCACCAAGGGCCCCACTTCCCTCAACAGGGCAGCCATGGCATGGCCACCACTCTGGAAAGTTCATTCCACATAAGGTTCTGTCCTGGGAACTTGACATCTTGTTATTTAATCCACACAGCAAGGCGATGAGCTGCATACATGTTACCACCTCATTTTATACGAAAAGGAATGGTTGCCTAACAGAGGAGTTAAGACACTTGCTGGCTAGTCCATGGCAGAGACACTTTTTTGCAAAATCTCCAGGTCTGTACCCTTTCTGCTAAGCCACCCTGGCTCTCTGAGACCCTGAGGAAAGGTTCCGGGCTCCTCATGCATGATCCTTTGTTGATGGAATCTGAAGTCTAACCGCTCTGGTCAGAAGCATGGACAGAGACAGCTGGTGCAAAACACAACACTTGGCCAGAGAAACCACAAACCAACCCAAGTACAACCATCGGGCTATGCTACTAGGGTGGCATGTTCGAAATCAAGGTTTCTCCAGCAATGAGAAGGAAACCCATCATGGTTATGAGTCTTGCTTGAGGTCCAAATAGTCCTGCGTTCCAGTTTCCAGAGCGGGCAGTGCACAGTGCCAGGCTCTGGGCCAGATTCACCCCCTGCTGCCCTTCCCCAGGAGGACTAAGTGTCTGCAAGATGCCGTACTCCTGGCATTACCTCGGCCCTCAGAGCACAATTGTGTCCCCAGCTCCCACAGCACTGCTCTCCACCCCAGGATCCCACAGGCTGTGAAGAGCAATTGAACAGCTGCGAACAGTGGTTATTAGCTCATTTGTTCCTAAAGGGTATGTTTACTGGGGTTGGTTTTTTCCCTCGGTGGAGTGTTTTTTTTTTTTTTTTTAGCTTGTTGTAGCTCCCGATATATATAATCTCTACTAGATGCTATGAGGAAAATGCAATTTTATTAGGGAAAAACAAACAAACAAAACAATCACTTCCTGAGCGAGCAAAGGAAAGAAATGTAAGTCATAAGCCCCTGAGAATGAAAAGCAAGACACACACTGCCCACCACAGGGATCCTGGAAACACAGCAAGCTTGTGGGCCTAAACTAACCCACGTGGGATCCCTGAGCTCCCCTCTTATTCTCGAGGTCCAAGCCGGGTGTGGAGCAGTTCAGCAGGCCTCTCGGGGCCTTCATGAGATGCTGGGAACTGAACCCAGACACAGGAGTCAGACACCTGCCACCCAGCCGAACGAACGGCACTGCAGGCAGCGTGTGCAATCAGAGATGCAAGGCTGAGTTTCCAGCTGGGTTAACACAAGGGCTAGCTACGAACTACAGAACCTTGTGGTCCCTGAGGTGTCTTGGGGGCTGCCTGGGAGTAGGGTGGGGTGATGAGCAGCAGGTGCCAGCCCTGCCCTCGGGTCCCAGCTCAGCAGCATCCAGAACATCCCAAACTGGTCTGTTTTCTGTCTTGGAAAACCTTCCATGGCAGGTTTCCCCTAGGGGGCCAAAGCCAGAGGCTAAAGAAGTTTGAAAAACACTTGATCAAGCCCAACCTCTTTGTTTCCAGATGAGAACAAGGAAAGCCCAGAGCTGGCTGGTGCTCCGCGGGGGCTGGGCGAGAGGCCTCCCGACGTCTCATCACCAGCCCGCTCCTCCGCACCCGCCGCCAACCGCTCAGGGTGCCCAGCGCCGCAGAGCTGTGCTGACCTCAAAGACCACCCTCTGTGGCAGCCTGAGCCCTATGCCTGGGATGGCCAGAGACTACCTAAACAAGACCACCAGTGGCTGCAGCTTGGACCCAGGGGCTCAAACAATTATAGTCTGGGGTTCTCTAGCATAATAGCTGTCTACCAAGATCAAAACTCATGTAAGAAAGCAATTGTTTCGGGGAGAGAAAGGTACACACCAGGTGGGACAGACCTGGGACCTAGACCCCCCCCTGGGAGCTTTTAAAACCACAGATGCCCAGGTCCCCACCCCCCAGAGACTGATTTGATTAGCCTGGGGTGCGGCCTGGCTGAGGCTGCCACAGCTCAGCACATGACTTCCATGTACAGGAAAGATGCAGGCCACCTGTGCTTTGGGGACGGGGAGGCAAACCACGCCCCACGGGCCAAACCTGGCCCACCTGCTTTTGTGAGTCAAGTTGAATCGGAACACAGTCCCGGTCGTTCACTGACGTACTGTCTGTGTTGCTTGCATGCTCTAAGGACAGAGCATGTCTGTGGTCCTGAGACAGATGGCAGATCCCACAATATCTAAAATATTTACTACCTGGCACTTTACAGAAACTGTTTGCTGACGCCTGTGCTAGAGTTTCAGTCTCAAGACGGGTCCTCTTCCTGCAGGAATGTCACTGGGTGTCTGATAAAGGTCTTCCACGTGGTCTGACAGAAAACCCACATGTCACTGAGCGAACCCAGCTTTTCTCTGGGAGCTTCGGCTTTTCCACAGCCTGGCCCCTCTTTCCCACCACCGCCTGCAGAGCCGTAGCACACCCTCTCCTATATATGCCGATCGCCTTCGTCACCACTGTTACAATACCCAGGGCACAAAGCCACTCAAGCAAAGCAGCTGTGCTTTCCAAAGTAACAAACTATCTTGGAACATTCTATTGTGTACTTGTGGAAAGCCAGGTGGACCATAGAGCCTAGCGCAGAAAAAGGGGGCAGGGGTGGGGCCCATCAAGTGCCTCACTTCATGATTTAATTGTATTAAACGTCACCACTGCAAATAGATACAACAATTCTGCAGCAGAGCTGTCCCCAGACTCTGCGGGCACTTACCAGAACTGAGCTGCTATCACTGGGTTACTTGCTTTAAAGGAAAAACAGAAAAATAAGACATTTTAGAGAGCTTGACCACTTTTTACCATTTGGACCACTTTTTACCAATGACTGGGGAAGAGACTTCCATGATCTCAGAGCAGTCCCGATCCCAGAAGGCAGACTCTTCAACCTGGTTACTTCTCCTTTCTGGAGGAAACATAAATCACCCTTCTTGCTGGGCCCCACCCTCCGATTCACTCTGAAAATGATCGCTGAGCCAGTTCTCAGGACCAGGAGCCCTAGGACGCAGAGACGAGACAGCCCCTGCTCTCAAGGAGCTTATAGTCTTCATACAGAGAGAGAGTGCATCAGGAGACACCACAAGCTGAAATACAAGCATGAGCCTGTGCGGCGGAGCTCAGGGCAGACGCCTGCAACCCGGTCCGGGTGGGAGTCTGTAGAAGGATCATGGACAGAGGTAGACCTTGTGTATCTAGACTTCACTTTGTTTTGTGAAAACTGGAGCACGGAAAATCGTTACATGTTTCCCGAAGAGGCCAGAACTCTGGCTGGAGAAAATGTCAGGAAACTAAAGGAGGCAAAGAGGTTGGAGACCAGGAAGGGAAGTGGAGGAGAAGCACAGAACGATGGAGTCAAGGCCCCTCCCCACTGCAGCAGCCACAGCCTCTGTGTCTGCCCACCTCCAGGGGCTGCGGACTCACTCCCTAAAGAGGGAGCACTGTCTCTGGCCGGCCACATCAGAAAGTTCTTCCTTATACTGGGGTGTTTCTGGGCAACTTTGGACCAGTTGGCTACGAGCACAGTGCTCGCCAGGGAGGTGAACACAGCTCTTGGGACAGAGCGTGCTCTCATCTCTCTCCCCACACCATCACCTGTCACTCCCAGTTCCTGCAATCAGTCACCCTTCACGGATCTGCCACCCTCCCTGGACACACCCCCACCCTCTCAACCTCTGGCCTTTCTTGAAAGTGAGGCCACATTCCCTAAGCTCTGGGCATTTTTGCCCCAGAGAAGCAGCCAAGAATGGCTTTAGAGAGTTTCTGGTCACCATACTACTGCACTGTTGGTTTACAAAGGAAGGAAACAGAGGGGAACACAAGGTTAAAGATTCTAGAATGGGAAAGCGTAGGCGCCAGGTCCCACAAAGGCCCACTAAGTCCTGTGTTATACAAGAAAAACATATGGAATGGCCACTACACTGATATCCAAGCAGGGAACAAGGGAGGGGTAGGGAGAGTGCAAAGGTCCTGCTATAAAAGAACAAGCATCTTAGTGCTAAACTCGATGTCCTGAATGAAGGAGCAAGCAAGTGTGGACATGGGAGAGCTAGGCTTTGGGCCTGTAAACAATCCTGGACTGCTCATCTCCTGACTGCACCTGTATTGGGTACTAGGGCCCATACACGAGCGGGGCCACAGTAGGAGATGACAGACGAAGCTCAGGAAGGGAGGGGCTGGGCCCACATCTAGGGCCTGGCTAAACTCAAGGGCAGGGAGTGTCTGGATTGACTGTGGGCCCTGAGTCCAGTATTTAAGGGTTCTGGTTCTCCTCTTACATAGTCAGAATTCTGGTTAGCACGAGACTGATGTCCCCACTTGAAACTGGAAGATGGAAGACAGGATTTCCCTGGTGGTCCAGTGGTTAAGAATCGGCCTGCCAACGCAGGGGACATGGGTTTGACCCCTGGCCTGGGAAGATTCCACATGCTGCGGTGCAACTAAGTCTGTGTGCCACAACTACTGAAGCCCACGTGTCCCAGAGCCCTGCTTCACAAGAGCAACGAGAAGCCCACCCACTGCAACTGCAGAGTAGCCCCCACGTGCTCGAACTAGAGAAAGCGCGGGCACAGCAATGAAGGCCAAAGCACAGGCAAAAATAAATAAGTAAAATAAATTTAAACTGAAAAAACAACAACCGAAAAACCCAAACAAAGAAAAAAATAAACTGGAACATGGAGGAGAGACAGGGATTGTTTGTCCCTCAAGGACACGTCATCATCTTCCACAGGCAAGAAACAAGTTTACCTATGACATCTCTGAGGTCCCAGGTCCCAAAGAAGCAAACAGGCACAAGAAAGGAAATATGGAAAAGGGAGAGAAGGAGAGGAACACACCCAATGGGAAAGACTAAAGACAGATGGATGGTGAGAGTAGCTTGATTCCCACCAAGAGAATCCCACTGGGGTTTTGTTGAAAGATTCACAGTGACAGAGAGCAATAAACAGTTCCTCCAAAAACTGCTTCACCAAACTCATTGGGGCTTAACCAACTAAACCACGACATAAAATTCCAAAACAGAATGCAAATCACACCACCTTTGAACGTCGAATGTCTTCGGGATGGGTAGCGTTTACTAGGCTTCCTCTCGAAAGTGCTGGTTCTTCGTAACCTGGCGCCATGGGTCGCTTGATATTCGGTCCGCCCACTGGAAAGCAAACATTCACAGCAGGCTACCAAAACCGCAACGTCGGTACAGTATATGTACTTGGAAGTGAATTTTTATTTTCAAGAGCTCCAGTGTAAATTTCAACTTATCTCAAACTCGTTTGGGTAAAGACACACACTAAATTTAGCTTTCTGTTTGGAAATAAAATCGCCATTGCCAAATCCAGGCTGTATTCCATTTCTACCAAAGGACAAACCTGCAATTTAGGGACCAGCCACTTGACTGCACAAACCAAGGAGGTCCAAGTATCTGGAACATTTGAGTAAAAGAAGACCAAATCACACATAAAATAACCTTTCATAAAACATATTAGGTACACGTTTAACTCTTTTAAAAGGCTGTTATCAATGACCACTTAAACTAAACCGTGGCTTTCCTTGCTATGCCCAAGAAAACACTGCTGCTTTCAGGAAGGCTCTCAATCACCCTGACGCCCAGCTACAGCTTCCAGGCGGCAATGCTGTCTTTGTCTGATCTATCACTGCCTCATTCCAGCCACCCTCGGTTTACAATTTATCACCTGGAAGGAGGCACTTGCCACCTGCTCTAACTGCCTCCCAGGGGCAAGTTCATCTCCAAACTCCCTTCCATCTCATGCTTCCCCTTAAAGAGCACAAGGGAACTTGGGCTAGGCCAAGCCCCACGGGAGTGTCCTCCCGGGATGGAAGCCTGTCTGGGCAACTTCTACAGTCCCTTGCTCATTTCAACAAGAGTAGACTTCAGAACACCATGCAATGCCTCTGCCAGGCTTTGCGATCATGATATCTCCAACCTCCCACAGGACCCATGATTCGAGCCTTTCTCAGAAAGGACTTGGTCCCCCTACTCCCCTCTGCAGCATTTAAAAATACATTCAAACAAAGTAATTCTTTAAACACAAGTGCTCGGCCATTTCTGTGCACAGCGGAAGAATCTGAAATGAACAAATCCTCTGGCATTTTAAATGGAGTTCAAGGACATGCCATGTGTGGGAAGAGGTTATGAAACCATGTGAAGTTTCAGATCTAGTAACAGCAATTCTCAGATCTATAAACAGGCCTCAGAAATCAACCCTGGGAGTGTATTTAAAATGGACATGCTCAGGTTTTATTCATACAGGCACATGTGTGCAGCCACTGACTCTAATTAGGAAAGTCTTAACTGGGGTCCTAAATCTTCATTTTTAACAAACATCCAGGGAGTCCTCGTGCACTTTAAGAGACATGGTCTTAGAATCATGAATAAAAACATATCAGAATAAATTCTCTTTCTCCAGAGTCTTTTCAAATACTCCTGAGCCCGTCTGGGTCATTCACACACCCAGTGACATCCGCACTTATTCCTAACTGTCACCAAATACCCTGATGTTAGCATGTGACAGGCCATAGAGCAGAGGTTAAAAAAAAAGACAAAGGACCCCGACCGCCTGGGGTTGAGGCTCAGCGCCAGCACTGACGGACGGTGGCTTTGGGTGGACTATCCACACCCCGGCACTAGTTCCCTTATTCGCAAAATGGGCATAATCTGAGGACCCATCTATTAGGGCCACAGGGAGGATTCACCAGTTGGTACGTGAAAAGCTCCAGAGCTGGATGGTTGATAGAGCTTTCTGAAATGATGCTCGTGTTCTACCTACAAGGGCACCGCCCAGCGTGGCAGCCACCGGCTTTCATTTGCACCGGGCTCCTGAAGCCTGAAGTGAGACCAAGGAACCACATTTTAAAATGTATTTAACATTAATTAATCTAAACAGCCACCTATAGCTCGTGTCTACTGTATTAAGACAGCACGGTTCCAGGTGAATGTCAGTGGTTAAGCATTTTGTGATGATTACTCTCATTTTATCAAGCAGGATAGGGAGGCTGAAAGAGCTCAGATGTTAAGAAAGAAGCTGGAGCGTGAGGTCCAATGCAAGTCCCCGAATACACATCCACGGCTCCTTTTCCCCAGAACGTCCCCGCCGCCCTCCTTCCGGGCTCGTGATGGAGCGGTAAAAATGGCGCCTACCTGAACCGGAAGCGCGAGCCCAGCCGGATGAAGTCCGACCTGTTGGACTTGCTGTTTCCTGGCGTCCGCAGCCGGAAGAAGGCGTGATGCTCCACGGCGCACTTCCACAGGTGCTTGCAGGTCCGGGCGCTGTCCAGGCGGAACACGAACGTGTGCTCCTGCTCCCGGCCCTCGGAGGAGAAGTGTGGGTTCCGGTTTACGCGGGTGCTGCTAACACCGATGCAGGCTCACTCCCGGCGAAGAGGAGGGACGGGGGCAAGGCTTACCTGGTCATCGTCCTCCACCACCACCAGCGTCAGTTTGCTCTTTTTAAAATCCATCTTGGTAATTTTCGGCCTGGCCAGAGAGAAAGCATTTTACAAGCGCAGTCTGCAGGAGCAACCATCTACAACATTACACAGCCCTTTCCTTTCTACCGGTTACGCTTCGATTTGCTTAAGAAATCATTCATTCAGGTAAGTGTGATTATTCAGAAGCGCCACTTCCATCGTCAGACACCCACACACGCAAGTCTGTGTGTTTTTAAAACGAATCTGGGTGTTGCCAGCATCCCTCGATCATCATCCCTCACATAGAATTCCACCACAAAAGAGGAAAAAGACATTTTTAATATAGGACAAAACTAAATTACCAAAAGAATAAGCCTATTTTGTTAGCTCCTTCAAAGATTAATATGCCTGTCGGGGTCAGTCCAAGAGAATATTCACAGCCATCTCTTCCCTACAAACAAACGAAGGCACAGTCGGTAGAAGGTTCTAACAGGTGGTCACAGAGCAGAATGCAAAACAGTTCTTCACCGCGTTACTTTGTTTCCACATTGTTTCCACATTTTTCCCATCACGGGGAACCCCAGTTACTTAAATGGCACAGTTCTTACCCTGACAACGTGCATGTCTACCCCATACATTTCCAGCCACTTCGCTTTATTCAGATAGGAGAGTTCCGCCTGGGCAGGGCTCTTTCCCCTTAGAAAAATCAACAAGACACGTGTAAACTGCCATGTGGACACCCACAGGAGTCTGCAGGGCATGGCCACTCTAAGGGTGCTTGGGGCAATTAAAGGGAAGAGGGATACAGTCTACATTAACATGACACAACCTCCGAGGGCAGACTGCTAACAGAAAGAGGAGAGAGCAGGGCTTAACAATATGAAGGCTTGAGGAAGCACTTGTGTGTGTAGATACGTGCACGTGTGTGCAAAGGAGAAAGGCTGAGTATATATAGCTGACTGCTCAGCACCCTCCTGCAGGGCAGAGAGTGGGGTGGGGCATATGGGGAGTGAGGTATGGCAAGATTCTTTATCCACATTTTTCCACGTTGTTTCAGTGGGATACAAGAATGTGCTGAGGTCACGTGCCATTTGCAAGAGTCAGAATGGCTGCGGGACACCGTGAGCCCATGCTGTTTCTGAGTCCAGGAGTGACTCGGCACGGGCAGTGTTTGGGGAAGATGAGCGGGCAGTAGGAGAGGCAGCGGGCCTGTTCTCCAGGCATAAAACTGCCAGGCTAGGGTGGCTGAGGGGGAAAAGGGAACAAAGCAAAGGATAAATGACAGGGCTGGATTTAGCTGTGGTGACCACGTGTCCTGAAATGTAACTCTGTACAACACACGGTCTCAAATGTGAGTGTCCCCATAAGGGACCACAGGACACATTTCTATAGGATTTGGCCTTGAAGTTCAGGCCATACACACAGCCCCTGGTATGCAGACTGGCTGGATCCAGGCGGCACCCCCTGGCTTGTTCAGGAGGCTGGGAAAGCGGCCCTGGTTATTCGATGAGCAAATCAGGACCAGGTCCTGCATTTCTGAGAGGACCCGGAATGTGGTTTGGTTTTCACTGTACAGCTCTGGAAAGAGAGACGTCCTGTGGGCCTTTGGAAAAGCAGGGCTAAAGTGCAGGAGAGAAAGCAGTGAAGAGCTGGAGCTGTAATTTCAGTCATCAGCAGGGCCACTCCACCAGCAGATAAAGAGTCTGACCAATGTTTGTTAGTCACTCAGTCGTGTCTGACTCTTTGTGACCCCATGCACTGTAGCCCGCCAGGTTCAGGCTCCTCTGTCCAGTGGGATTCTTCAGGCAAGAATACTGGAGTGGGTTGCCATTCCCTTCTCCAGGGGATCTTCCCGAACCAGGACGTCCAAATTGCAGGCAGATTCTTTACTGTCTGAGCTATCAGGAAAGCCCTCTGACCAATGCTTACACGTGACCAAATGCATACATTGGAATGCTAGATGGTAGCATCAAGGTACCTGCATTCTTTCCATCTCTGGAAGATATCAAATTCCATCGCTTCTGTCTGATTTGGAATGAACCGAAACTCAGACACAAGCTCTGGTGTATGTTCTGGAAGCTCACACTCCCCAAGCTCGGCTGCAGGTTTCATAAAAGGGAGAAAACATAAGACAGTGAATGCTTCTGGTTATTGCAGCAGCAAGTCCAAAGGCGCTCTGCCCGACTGTAAACAGCACAGGTACCCCCTCAGGTATAACTAAGGGTCTCCACAGGTACATTCAGAATCCCCTCCAATCACTCCAGTGTGCTCCCCACTGGGCCATACACCATCATCTCGATTATGACTGTCTCTCTCCCGACTACTTCTCCTGCCCAGGGAGGCCCTGATTACATTACCCCCACCAAACTGTAGTGCCTAAATTTGCAATAAAAGGCAACTGCAGGGAATGGGGACCTGCCCAGGAACATCCATGTAACAAGGCTCTCATTAAGGGTGGGTCTGAGCAGCACACCAGAGTCTGCAGTGCTGGAGAGGACCAATCAAGAATTCAGTACAGGCAGACTCGGGTGTTGGGGGGAATGTCAGGAGGGAGAGGGAAGGCGTGAGGAGGGAGGGAAGAGGGGGTGCGAGGGCTGTGGGAGCAACTGCGGCAACTCAGGCAGAACCTGGGAGGGAGGCGGCTGTGCAGAAAGGAGCCACAGCCACGTGGGCGATCCCAAGCAAAAAGCCCAAAGCCGCCCCCACAGAATGCAGGGCCGGAGGACGCAGGAGGCCCATTCCTCCTAGACCTGAATGAGAAAATCTCTCTCCACTCCCCCAACCCTCGCAGGACAGGAGGCAGAGCCCAGAGGGAAAAGGAATCCCCCAGAGGTCCCTCTGCTCCTTTTCTGCGATTACCTCTAGTATCTGGCTAATACCAAGTGTGGTCTGCAGACCAGCAGTGTGGGCATCACCTGGGAGCTTGCTCACCATGCAGAATCTCAGGCCCCACCTGGGACCTGCAAGAGCAAACCCGCCTCCCACCAGACGCCCAGGAGGGTGGGGCACACGTTACCTGGAAAAAGCCTGGATCTACAACAGGGCTTTTCTAACAAATATGCATCAGAATTGCCTGGAGGAGTTGCTAAAACACCCTTGGCTGGCCCCCACCCCCAGAGGTTCTGAATCCATAGGTATGGAATAAGGCCTGAAACCCTGCATTTCTCTTTTTAAATTTATTTATTTTTAACTGGAGGATAATTGCTTTACAATGTTGTATTGGTTTCTGCCACAGAACAAGAATCAGCCATAGGTATACATATGTCCCCTCCTTCTTGAACCTCTCACCCACCTCCCACCCTGAAAACCTGCATTTCTAACAAGCTCCCAGGTGATTCTGATGGAGCTGATGCAGTATGTTCCCGGGGAACATGCTTTGAGAACCATTGCTTAACGCAGAATCCCACCAACAAGCCAGCACATGACCGAATACCCCTAGTTGACAGCAACCCTTAATGTATGCAGCAGCCCTTTCCACTGGCTTCTGAGCCCCAATCCCAGTGCCCACCTTTCAGGAGAGGGATTCCTGTGGGCTTGCAGAAGAGGATGAAACGTCCCTGTCCACCCAGAGGAAGCAAGAAGGGCTGGTGTGAGGACTGCATGAGACAGCCTCTGACACTGGGCAGGGAATTCAGGGCTGTCTCCTTGCCTGACCACAGCCCATCACATCTGCAGCTCTCAGCTGGACGGCACCCCTAAGACCACCAGGGGTCTGGATCAGGTTATGCAGCTGCTGGGGACCCTGGGCAGAGCCACAAGTGATGCTTCTTCTCTGGACATATTTGCCCAGAAAAGGGGAGGGTTGGGCTTCCAAGGCTGGGGGCTGCAACTGATCTCTGACCTAGATGTTACCCTGAAGCTGCAGACCCAGCAAGGTCGGAAGGGCGGCCTGGAAAGAGGTCTCCCTTGATATGAACCACCCTGCAACATGGGCCAAAGCGAGCCATGCGTCTGCTGGGGTGTCTGCACGAGACTTGATTAACTGTGCCCCGACACCATCAAGCACAGGAGGGAGAGGCCAATGACAACGTTCCCATGAGACCAGGCGAGGGGGCTAGTGTCCCTCCTTATCATTAGGGGGACTAATACAGGCCTGAAGGACACCCATCCTGAGGAAGCATGCTGCCTGCCTTCCAAGAACCTGCCAGCAAGAGCACACTTCGCTTAGCCGCGGTGGGGGATGGGGGGTGTGGAAGAAACAGCTCAGAGGCAGGAATGCTTGACCCCCGCTTGATCTGTGTGACCTGGGTAAAGTCTCTTAACTGCCTGGGTCTCTAATGCCTTATCCACAAACCTGAAACTTAACAAAGCAGGGACACACCACAAACGACTACATTTTCCCTCCTCCTTTTTCTTTGTACCTGAATTAATTTTCAAATCAACCATAAAATTCATTCTCAAAAGAGCAGAGCCTCCAAGCAGGGCCACCGCATCACAACAATAGAGGCACTGATTCAAGGACAACCGCGGCAAGACACGTGTTCACGGCTCCAGCATGAGAGGAAACACCTTTCCTTTCAGTTTTCAAATGCACAGAGGCTCTTGAGAAATTTCACAGTCCTTGGGGAGCTCTTCAAGTCCGTTCTGCACTTACTGATCACCTACAGTAAGCCAAGTCCCCATTCAAGAATAAGAACTAAAGGTGACTAAAGAACTGAACTTTCAGGGAATGGGAGTAACCTGGTCATTAAAAACCAACTTTATGAGCATAAACATGATGAAATCTATGTATTAAAATTACCAAATAGAAAACCATACAAAAATATCTGTATACGACTATGCCCAGAATTACATTTTCAAAACTCAAAACACATAGAAACTCTGCTTGTCTGTGAGTAGGATGGTGGCTTCCTTCCTTCCTTCTACTTGTCTTTTGTCCTGCTATTCTGTAATAAGCCTGTACTGATTTTATAATTTGAAAAGACTTAGATCAAGTTTTAAAACTTTGTAAATACAAAAGTCGGAAGCCAAATCTTATTCCGATGTTCAAAAAGAATTAGTGATTATGAATGAAAACATCACAACTCATTATCCCATAGAAGCCAAAGAGCACACTGATCAGAGTCCACAGCTTATGTCTGTCTGATGTGCTAACAAAATTCCTTATGTGCAGCTACACGTTAGTATCCTCTTAACTAGTGCTGGAGACTTTAGTGAGCGTTTCTCGTGCATCTTACACTAAAATCCACCAATGCATCAAATGGATGGAATGGTCAACACTGCAAGTCAGGCAGGCAGCCCTCTTACCTGTCTGTTCCCACCCACATGCTGATGGCTCCCGTCAGCGCTTCCAGCCTGACCTCTCTCGTGGAGCCTGATCTGCACTGACTCAAGAAGCTTCCAGAGGCCCCACCGGCCCCTCTGAGCCAAGACACGGCACAGGTGTCCCACCATGGAGCCCAACTCTTAGTCTAGCCATTCGCTGTTACCATCACCCATTCTCAGCAAAAGCCTAGCAGTCATCTCTGACTCCTCTTTCAACGCTGAAGCCTAATGACTGGGTCCTTCTCCTTATATTATTGATGTGGTTTGGGGGGGTGTGTGTTTAACCCCAGCCTTGGTCAGTTTGGTTTTATTACAGCTACATCTCACTACCCACCCCCCTCCGCCCCGGGCCCAGTTTTGGTCTTGTTCCTGTCCCTTCTCCCCATCATAACCACTGTGGCCTTTCTAAAACGCACATCTGATGGGGCCTGCCTCCTTCTTCAAAGGCACCACTGCTGACAGCATGAAGTGGATGTGCTTTAACGGGGGTCAAGGTCATCCACAGATTTTTGAACTTGGCCCTCTGACATTGCTCAGTTGCTGGTGCCTCTGTGTACTTTCTTCTCTGTGCCTCGGTTCCTCTGTTCATTTCCATCCACCCTTCCTCCCGTGGGCCTGCCACTTCCGAGCCTCCTGCAGGTCTCTCTTGCTGAAGGAACCACACTCTGCTGTATATGTGTGCATGGAGTATGTGATCCTGCCTTGTGGTCCTCAGGGGACCGGAAGCTACTTGGGGATGGAGACTGTATCATGTTCATTTATACCCCCAAAGCAGAGCACTGTGCCTGCTACATAGACCCTCGTTTGTTGAAAGGAAAAGCAATAACTTTAAAATGCCAATTTCCACTAAGGAGTAATGTACCTTGTAGGCAGAGAGCGGCTAATTCCACAGCTGTTTCATATGGGCATTTCAATCTTGGGAAAAAAAAGAAAGAAATTAACTCTAAATATGAACTTTAATATTTATAACTATACAAAATGTCACTAAAACCATTTTTCAGAACGTAGTGATATTTAGATAATGATTTTTGTTCTCAGTGGTTTCTATTTTTGCTGTCTGTATTAAAAAATGCAAACAGCCTGACTTACTCTCCCTGTTTCCCAAAGTCAGTTCTCCTCATATGTTAAATTAACCCCATCGAGGTATAGTTTCAACTCTAAGCATAATGGGCAATTTTCCTGAATCTGGCAAGAATGGGGAAGTTTGGAAAAAAGAATGAAAAGCCCTTTCCTTTGCTTTACTAGTTTTAAACTTATTTTATCTTGATTTGACACCCGCATCTTTTCAAGTTGCCTTAAGTCTTTCTTGAAACAAGGTCCTAGTGTTAGAAATAGACAGACAGACACTATATCTAAGATGGCCAGGAGAGCCAGATATACCCAAGCAATCAAATAACAGACATTGCCACAGAGCTGTATTACTACAAATCTGGTGATCCCATTCATACTGAATACACAAATTTTGTTAGAAAAATAATAATGACATACATTGGTATAGCACTTCATAGTTTTCAAAGCCTTTTCACATACGTGTATTATCCAGTGTGGTCAATGCATCAAGCATGTCAACCCCTGCTATGGGTGTGGCCAGTGCTCCCCATCCTTCACCTCAGAGATGAGGAACTGAGTGTTCAAGTGTCCTGCCCACCGCCGGCCAGCTGGTAAATTCAATGCTGGGGCCAGAACACCAGTCTACTGTGAGTATAGTAATGTCAGGCTGAGGTGCATGTCAACTGCAAAGTGCTGTACGCGTCCAAGATGTCGCCATTAGTATTTTTCCAGACCGAAGACAATCACTAGGGAAGAGGCTTCTGGTATGGGAGCACAGTGTGGTGAGAGAGAAATACACACAGGCACTTTGATACACACACAATCAAAGACCTGTATCACACGGCTAAGGCAAACGTATACACTGCACCATCTAGTTGTCCTAGAGTGTACATTCCACTAGGATTCCTGTAGCACATATTCTACAGAGAATTTGCAGATTCAGAAATCACATTGTAAATCACCTTCAGGCTATATTCAAAATCAAAATGTATTCTTGTCAAGAGCAGGTATTACTTTTTAGATTCAGTGGGGCTTAGTTTTTCATGTAGCAGAAAACAGTCAATATGTCTGGTGAAAAATGACACAGCTGTAAAAGTTATGACTGCTGAAATCGCGTATCCTTAAAATACATGCACTGCCTGTAAAATCAGTCACTTCAGTGCCAATGCTTGTCATGCTCAGCATTGTATAGCCAGAGGCCTAGGACTTAAAAACCATTTTTAAGAGAGGAAAAGGAAATGAGATGAGACATCTAAACCTCTTTCTAGTAGAATCAGAACATAACCTCTTTACATAAATGCAGATGGTGATGAGCGAGACTTTCAGATGATCCAAATACTTGTAAGTGTATACTAATAAAGTATCTTGCTTGCAAATACAACAAAAGCCAGTACAAATGGAGCAATGATGTGACCAGGGACAGAATAACTCCCAAAAACACATCATTGAAGATATCAAATGCTCTTGGAAATGCCTCAAGCCATAAAGGATTTATTTAACATAAGATGTTGATGACAGTGATACAACTATTAGACTCATTTTACAATGCCTGGTGTACTTTTTTTTGAATTTTGAAAAGGGAACAAGGGTAAAGAGTTATAAAAAAACACACACACAATGAATTATTTAGAAAATATACTATGATCTATCTTGAGTTAATGGTTAGAAAAAAGCATACTTACTTTCCTGAAAGAATGTCATGCCTGAGTTGTAAAACAAACAGGTACCTGACAAACATACACAAAAGTCAACAGAGGGTCACTGTTCCCCAGCCACTTCCAATCCCCAGCTTCCCATCCCTGCTCCCACCCCCACACAGTCCGGAAGTCTGCATTGTAACAAGGGAGTCCAGGTCAGATGAGAACCTGGGTGGAAGCATCTCCTGTCCCAGGAAGGCATTCCAGAACCTAGCGAGGAAGGTGCATGCATGTAGGAAATTTGCAAGATACTCAGAGGATGGAACATGGAAAGCTACACAGTCCAATGACGCTGCCTCAATGCCCGTGGGCCTCCAGGAGACAGACAGACAGACAGACAGACACACACACACACACACACACACACACACGTGCGCGCGCAGAGCTCACACAATCCAACAGGTAGGGTGGAGCCACTGCATCTGACCCTCAGCCAACCCTGCCAGCAGATTTCAGTAAGGATGCTGCTGATTGTTTCAAAGAGTTTGCAGCTGACTACAGTGAGTGACTGCCAGAGGCTTTTTTTCTGCCGAGTTTAACCGCAGACTCTGTCTTCAAAAAACCAAAAAACCCATGTGTGCACGCACACAGACACATACACACAGGAACCAGAAATCCTGGAACTGGTCACAGAAAATGGGGAGGAAGGAAGCAAATAACACCAGTGGAGTTCACTGAAGTAAGAGATTAAGTAAGTGTCCTTTTTACCGGAGGATGTGGGCATCAGAACCACTTACAGTGCTTTGTAAAAACCAAAGCTGCCCACGCTCCACTCCACACCTACAGAATGAGAATCTTACACGCAAGAGTGGTCCCCAGGAATGTGATTTGTTCAAAAGCTTCTTGGGTGTTTCTGATTCACAACCCCTGATTAAGAATCACTGGCTTTGATGACAGCTAGAAGCAGCACACTTCATACAGGACTCTGAAGAGGAGCCCTAGGATAATGTAATTTGTTTGAACTTTGAACACAGTGCACACAGTCACTCTCTGTGGAATGGATATAGGATAATGTGGGTGACCCAGACATGTGGGTGGTGGTGAAGGTTCTAGTACATTCCAGAATGTTCCTACTTCTGACAGGCACTCAACTGCCATTAAACTGAGTACCCATATTAAGGAGCAGACAGTGCTGATGTGGCCAGAACTTCCAATTCCTATAGGAAATCTTAACTACAGAAGCCCACAGGCTCCTCCCGTGGCAGGGCATGGTGATAAAGTCAGTCATTAAAGTGCTACTTAGGTGGTCACCTCCAAGCCAGGGGCCACAGCCATGGACCACCCGTCACCACTGCTGTCCATCACAGACGATGACAAGGGGAGTCTGGGGAATCAAAGGCAGCAGGAGACTGAGTCGAGAATCTCACTGACAGCAAGGTGGCTGGAGGGAAAGTCCACATGTAAAATGTTTTTTAAGACTCTTTTGCTTCTGCACTATCTCTGAAGTCTCAGAGGCAGACACAGGAAGGTATACCAAGGAAGAAACTCAATGGGGTGGAAAGACACCATGAAGGAGTGCCAACAAATCTGATACTACAACAATTGAGGGAATGTTTTGCAGCGCTCCTTAAATAAAATGGCAGTTTTGGATGGTGAAACGCTCTTCTAATATCTGCCTTCCCTTTTGGTATCTGAGACAAAAAATAAAGCGCCAGAGACCAACTAGCCAATTTACCCGAGGTCCGACAAAACAGAAATGGGACGAGAAGATATACTTTTAAATTTTGATTTACTAAGGAAAGGTCCAATCAAGCAAAGTGGAGGTTTTCAACAGAATACAGAGATAAGCACAGGCAAAGTGTTCATAACTTTTGCTCAGAACACAAAGACAGCAGATGGAAGAGGTGGCGAGCCCACAGTCTAGAAGACCTGCTGATTATAACTAAGGCAAGTGCTATGGGGTGTGGGTGGGTGGAAGGACCTTCCTTTGCTTCTTTTCCTACCTTGTAAACTCTTCACGAAGGTTGTTCGGTTCTGAAGAATAATATTTAACTCGAAAGTGCAAAGCATAAGCAGGTCCAACTAAGCATTTGGAGATGGAAGGTTGAAGATGTTTTTCCCCAAGTTTTGAAGATCACAGAATGGAAAAAAGGAAAAACACGTTAAATCTATTAACATATCCACCACGTCACTGGAAGATAACAGAACATACAAAGCAACCCCAGTTTGGAAAACTAAAACAGACTTTGGTGTTGACAAAAACAGTGTAGTTAGTAATCTCATTCTGGAAGAAAATCCTACTCATCTAGATGACTTACTGAGAGCTAACAGTTTACTTTCACCCCTGGCTGCCAAGATACCCCAGTGACACTAACTTTTAACAAAATACTAAGTGGGCTATAGGAAAGTGACACATAAACAGCCAAGTGTTCTGTAATCTAAAAGTAACTACAGTAAAAATACTTTAAAAGTATTAGATTTTTAAAAACTTACTCATACATAAACTACATTGAAGAAATCTGGTTACCACAACATAAAATTAAAGAGCAGGACCAGATTGTCAAAGATGCCGCCAGATCTCCCATTCTCTGAATCTACTTCATAACCCACAAGAACATGAATGTCACAGGTATAAAGTCATGTTTCTGAACATCATATTTTTCAGTCCTCATTGGGGGAAGTGTCTAATTTCAAAAGAGGGCATAGTGTGCTTTTTAACATCTATTAAAAACTCCCATTCAAATTGTAAACTCTTAACATTTAGCCAGTCTTAGGAAATTAAAACATCCTTAGAACTGAATCCATTTGAAAATGCTCCCAAGTTCTGATGAAAAATGTAATACTTCAAAACATTGGCAAAGGAGTTCACTCTCTGAAAAAGGAGTAAGGTAGTAGACTGAATTCTGCTTACTTACTTTTCATCTGCTTTTTTATAGGTTTGGAATGATCCAGCCAGTGCTGAAAGAAAGAAAAAAAAATTGTTTTTCTTTTAGGAATAGATTCATCAATAAGATTTCACAGTCCCCTGGAGTTACCCTCCCCTATAAATCTTAGTAACTAAAACCAGGGATGGTCTCCCTTGTTGTTCAGCTGGCAGAGAATCTACCTGCAATGTGGGAGACCTGGGTTCAATCCCTGGGTTGGGAAGATCCCCTGGAAAAGGGAAAGGCTACCCATTCCAGTATTCTGGCCTGGAGAATTCCATGAACTGTATTGTCCATGGGGTTGCAAAGAGTCAGACACAACTGAGCGACTTTCACTCACAAAACCAGGTATTGGACCAGATTATGAGCTCTTAGGCAACCTGCTTGGTATAATATAAAAATATCTGTGCTTCATGAAAAGATGTCAACATCATTAATTATTAGAGAAATGCTAATCAAAACTACAATGAGGTATCGCCTCACACGGGTCAGAACGGCCATCATCAAAAAGTCTACAAATAATAAATGGTGGAAAGAATGTCGGAAAAGTGAACGCTCTTACACTGTTGCTGGGAATGCAAACTGGAGCAGCCACTATGGAGGTTTCTTTAAAAACTAAAATAGAACTACCATTTGATCCAGCAATTCTACTCCTGGGTATATATCCAAAAAGCCCAAAAACACACATTCACAAAGATATATGCACTCCAGTGTTCACAGACAACCCAAGTGCCCATCAACAGATGACTGGTTTAAGAAGGTGTGGTATATATACACAATAGACTATTACTCAGTCATAAAAAAGAACGAAATATTGCCATTTGCAGCAACATGGATGGACCTAGGGATGATCATAATAAGTAAGTCAGAGAAAAGACAAATATCATATGCTATCACTTACATGTGACATCTAAAAAATAACAAATGAATCTATATATAAAAAAATGGAAACAGACTCACACACAAAAAAAACTTATGGTTACCAAAAGGGAAAGGGGAGAGGGATAAATTAGGAGTTTGGGATTAAACTACAGATACAAACTACTACACATAAACTAGATAAGCAACAAGGATTTACTGTTTAGCACAGGGAAATATATTCAATATCTCATAACAAGCTATAGCAGAAAATAACCTGAAGAAAATTTATATGTAACTGAATCACTTTGCTGTACACATGAAACTAACATAATATTATAAATAAACTATACTTCAGTTAAAGAAAAAATACCTGTGTTTACGCACATCAAGTTCATTTTTCCTGGGAAGAGTTAGCTTTCCAAAGAGGTGATGAAAATAACCTAAAACCCTTTACCTAATTGATCTATAAAGTCCCTTCAAGTCAGCGGAGCCATCATCAGCCTTTTCCTCCTGAGTTTTCTCATGACAGAACCAAGTCTCCACTAATCTAGTAACGACTATAAGCCGTGCTGCCAGAAGTCTCTGTTCATAGAAGGGGTTTTTTGACTCAGTCCCCCTCAAGTCTAAAATTAACAACCAAAATTCATGACCTTTTAAATGACCCACAATGAAGATGGAGAGACAGGAAGGAATTTGCCTGAGATAATTCTGCTCTGGTCCATGAAGGTGTTTCAACTTCCTCTAGCTTTCACCAGAAACACACTTCAGTCTTATCCACCCGAGGAAATGACAAAACCACTTCCCTCATATAAAAGTTCCTCTGTAACATCCAAGTTGTTGGCACTACAGTCTTGAGGAGCCTTGGGAGCTTGGCTTCCATGAAAAACATTTACGAACAGGACACTGTGAGCCCCTCCAGGCAAACATACGCCTAGGAGGGCGAGGACCACGCACTTAGTCATCTCTTAGTTTCCTGTGCCACACACGGAGCTGGCCACCCAGCAGGCCTTATTAGATTCTTGAGAAATAAATAAATGGCCAACATACTTTTTTTTTAATGGGGCAAAAAGGGACTTTCCTCTCCTTTAAGGAAACTCCGCACATGTGGAACACTGCTGCTAGGACAACAGTTGGAACAACACAGCACAGGGCAGGTTTCTCAATAGCTGTTCCGAGGCAGAGGTCATTCTGCTGACCGTCGAGATACTTTCAGAAGCAATCTAAAGCCTGCACGTTCTAATAATGAAAACAGGAGGGACCAAGTGAGTACCGTGTACGCCACCCCTCACCAAAGAGCCCATTACGAGACTCTGTGGGAGGAGAGGGACAAGGCAACACAAAAGCAAATAAGAGATGAATTATAACACAATAAGCTGTGAGCGGTGCAATGGGAGAAAAGGGCTTTGTCATCCCTGCTCCCCGGCGAGGCAACCGAGTGATAAAAGCCCCAGATCCCCATAGCTGGATGCCGATCTCAAAGGCTTGAGCACAGGGTGCTTCATCTCATTGTTAATAGCTCCGAATGAGAAATGACCTAAATGCCCATCAACAAAGACGTATTAAAAAATGACTCCTCCATGTAGTGAAATACTATTCAGCCTTTAAAATTGATTTAGGCCTAAATTTATTGATGTGGCAAGAGATCCATAGCACAATGTGAGATGGAGGGGGTGGGGGCGGGAAGCAGGTAGGATCCCTTTATAGAAAATTATTATTTCCTATCAACACATGTCCAGAAGAATTTATAGAGGTTATTTCTGAATGTGGGGCTGTGAATGACGTCTGCGTGTTTTCTTTTTCACTTTTCTGCATAGTTTCTTCCTTTTAATGAGAACATTATTTTCATAGCGGAGGGTGTGGTGGGGTGGGTCTGCCAGGTTGTCAAATTTTATTATTCATTTACCACTTGCCTATTGGGTAGTTTTTGATGATCAATTTGTCTCATTAGAGTGAAGTCTCATTGCTGCCCCTTAGCCAAGCTGAAGTCCTGGACCCTTAGCCCCTGGGAAGAGGACACACAGGCCTTATAAATCAACATATTTACTTTCCTGCCAAAGTAAGTATCATGCTAATGGCTTGACTAAACCTGTTCTTTGCCTCACTTTCAAATGAATTTATCCATACCAGGCAAGGAACGTTCTCCCCACAACCAACCTCTAATCTTATTAGCCCCGGAGGCTCAGAGCTTAAAGGAGCTTGTCCCATTTCTTTCCTTTCTCACATCTCCTTATCATATTTGGAATAGAATAAATTTCAGCCCACTGTTCCTCTCCCTCTAATGTCAAACTGTAATCTTAATCCAGGCCCCGCCTGTATCATTTCCTCAGCTGGGGTTTTCAACCCTGGCTGCACATTTCAGTCACAGATACCCAGGTTCCACCCAAGATCATTATACAGAATCCTAGATCATTAGTGTTTGCCAAAGGCTGCCAGTGTGCTCATTAAATATTTAGTGCTGAAGTTTCCCTGCATCCTCTCCTACCCAAGAATATATCCTAATAATGACCCTGGGGATCCTGCAACATCCACGACCCCTTCTGAAGACTGCTGTCTGAGGTCTGTAAAACCTTCAGCAATTTCAGGGTTTATGAGCCCGATGGCCACGGCCCGGTGTTAACTGACAGGCAGATCATGGCTGGATGCTCTTCCTGGACAGCAAATGCCCTTCCCTCTGACCACACTGCTAAAGAAGTTCCCCTCATCCTCGTGCACGAGCCTCCATCCTTCCCACCAAGTCACCAGCCACAGAGCCCTGCCCCGAGCAGGACCTACCAGGATGGAGGTCTAGGGCTCACAAAGCTGGGAAAAAATCAGAAACAGCTCCATTTAAAAAGCTCCTTGACCCTGCGGTGTTCTGATCAGGTTGGCTCATCTGCATCAGAGGCGATAAGAAAGCCAGTCACAATGCTAAAACGAGATAATAAAACCTCTCTTGTGTCCTACCAGTTCAAACTGACCCAACTTCCTTCTTAGCTGCAGGGGCTGACTGGACCCTGATCACCTGTATTTAATCCCACAAGACCACCCTGGGACTTAAAGACCCCGGGTACTCAGGCCCAGTGTGGCATTTAGCAAATCATATCCTGTACTTGGCTTGAAGCCCAATTTAGCAGCAGCAGGACCTATCTCAGATATTCACCTGCATCTGGCTAAATATAGCCAGGCCGCCTGTCAGCAGAGACCAAGACAAATGGCTCCAGACCTCTTATCAGACCAGTAAACCAGTCACTGGAAAGAAACAGGTGCGTTTCTGAGTTCAAAGGGCAAGATATTTACCTCAGACACTCTAATGGGTATTAGGTAGTTTCTGATCTGAATTTCTCATCCAAGTCCATCTGGCAAAATCCTTTCCATAAATTGAGATGTGAGATGATCTGGCAAAGCCCATCTGTTCTGACTGTACATCAGTTCTAGAATTATGACATACATGAGACTGGCTGTAGAATTTAATTGTCTAAAACCTACACACGAGCACTTGAATCACAGGAGAGGCTCAGGGCTTGACAAGGGTCTAAAAACTCTGCTGGAATAACCCCTGGGCCAGCACGTTTGAGTGATGGAGCTCATAACTGGCTTTCTAGTACCTCTAGATTTTCTTGGCTCGTAAAAAGTGTCTAGTTTGCATTTAAATTAGAGCTGGAAGGAATATGAGATAATCACATCCAAAGGATATAAAGAGAAAGAAGAGAACGAACACTTTTGGAGCTTATTGTGTGTGATATTGTGATTCATAATAAGAAATGTATATTTGGTCTTCATCAGTTTCTGGCACAGAGCCCCTAAAACTCTTGTAATTTCCTAAGTGGTAACAGCAATAAAAGTGTCTTAATATTCATAACAAACCCCTTTCCATGACACCTGAGTTTATGTGAATGAGGTTCTTTGGGAAAGCACCTAGGGATGGGGCTGGTTGCTCGGGGAACCAAACACATGCGAGCAGGAACTTTCAGTCCCATCCCCCAATCTCCAGGAAGGGGAGAGGGGCTGGAGGTTGAATCAATTACCAATGGGCGATGATTTAATCAATAGTGTCTGTGTGATGAAGCCTCCGTAAAAACTCAAAAAGACAAGGTTCAGAGGTCTTCAGGGTTGGTGAACATATGGAGATTTGGGAAGAGTGATGTGTTCAGAGGGTCAGAGAAGCTCCACACCTTCCCATGCCCCATACCTTGC